TATGTTTATTTTTTTTTAGGTCAAGCAGAAGCAAAGCAAGACGCAAGTAATTACCACACCAACCACCTCTGACATCACGAGAGCAGAACCCAAGAACTTTCTAATCCACCTAAATGTCAAAGCAATGTTCGCAGCCCTCCCTCCGCGTGGATCTCCAAAGGCTGCCAAAAGGCCAGTGGTTAGTCATCTGTTTACTCCTGCAGCTGCTGGGTGTCATTGGAACTCTGAAGGAGAAATCCCATGATTCTCTCTGCCATTTCTGACAGCTCCCTCCCAGACCACATTAATCAGGGATTGTGGCCAAGCTAGGGGTTAGACGGCAGGCATGGATGGCTCCGGCCCAGGACAACTGAACCGGAGGGATCTGGGTTCCCAGATAACCCAACGCTCTGCCGTGTCACGGTGCGTTCTCGTTCAAATAAACCCGTTTGTTTTTAGCAGTTAAAGGAGCCGGCGAGGTCCTCTTGTTGCCTGGTGAAATAGAGCTTTAAAAACTCACATAATTTAAGAAAAGATAAATTATTCCAGCAACGTAAAACAAAATCCAAGGAAGAGATTTGGAAATTATTTCAGGTAATGAGACATTTATGATTGATTTGCCTTCCTTGTTATCAATCAAGAGCAATTTTTAAGTTATTATAAAAAAAGTTATCCTGATGTATACCAAATGGCGTGGTTTGAAACATTTAGCTGATTTCTATGCAATTCTGACGTGTCTGTAAACACAGTGCTCAGCTAAATCCATGTACACTGCAAAAACTGTCCAAACCAAGTTTTAAAATCTTATATCAGCCAAAAAGTCTTTTTAATCTTGTTTTGAGACTGATTTACTAAACAAGAACTGATTGTGTAAGAATATTAATCTTGTTTTCAGAAAGTGTAAGATTATTTGTCTTGTTAGTCTGAAAATTTGACTCAAATTAAGTCAAAAATTTCTGCCAGTGGAGTAAGAAAATTTTACTTGGTAAGATTCTTGAAATAAGAAAAAAATSAGTCAAATCAAGTATTTCAAGAATCTTACCAAGTAAAATTTTCTTACTCCACTGGCAGAAACTTTGACTTAATTTGAGTCAAATTTTCAAGCTAACAGGACAAATAATCTTACACATTCTGAAAACAAGATTATTATTCTTACGCAATCAGTTCTTGTTTAATAAATCAGTCTCAAAACAAGATCAAAAAGACTTTTAGGCTGATATAAGATTTTAAAACTTGGTTAGGTGGACATTTTCAACCTTCATTAGGCTGGCTGTAGTTTGTGTAGGAAAACGAATGTGTCAGACATTAAACTTGGCCAAAGTATGATAAATAATTTAAATAATATGAAACATGATGAGTTGTTGAAGTAAATGTCCAAAGTATAAAACCTAAAGAGTGTTTTGAAGCCCTTTTCTGAGCCGTACTGACAACTGACGATGATTTTGAGCATATTTGCGACTTTCCCTAACAAAGATATTTTCAAAAATTTGTTGCCCAACCCTAATTAGAAAACACTAAAATATAGACATCAGACCCAATTTTCAGCGGTAGCAAGACAAATTGAGCCATCTTTGGAAACTTTTGTAATTTCAGGATGATCCAGATATCAACGCGTCAAACAGTCAGTAATCTAAAAGCGTAGCCTGATAACCTGCAGGCCTAACCCTAAACCAGATTAAATTAAGTATTGCTCTTGAACCCTTTGGAGTAAATTCACAAGCCTAGTCTCTATGTAAAGCTGTCCATCTGCAGTTTTAATGTAGTTTGACGTGTGGTTGATGATGAAGACAGCTTTAACCACATTTTCTGCTTCATTTCTGATTTGCGAACGTTGCTTTCTTATGACCTGATGAAAGATGAGTTGTTTTTGTCTCTAATAAATGGGGCCAGTTTCTGTTTTTTAGTGCGATACATTCTACGCAGGCAAGTTTAATAGCCTTGAACCGTGAGTATTTTCTGTTTCATAACATTCAAAGGGTAAAATCTGCTCAATACCCAAACAGAAACACATCCACTTGTTGCTGCATTAAAACAACTCAGGCGAGAGCCGACCACACGTATGAAAATAAGTTAAAACAAACGGACTAACAGCGTTCATACATGTTCCGCAGAGCTGTGAGAATGCACACATTTGAGCCATTGTTCAGTTTAAAGCAGTAATTGATGTGTTTTTAAGCTCCATAATGTTTAATTTGTCATAAATGTGGTTATTTCTGTAAAGGCCTCGAAGCGTACACAGAATAATATGTTATTATAGATGTCTTTCAGCGGCTCTCACTCCCGACACTTTTCTTCCACGCTGTTTACGCTCATGAGATTATGTGCATAATGAGGTTGGATTGTCTAAGCAAAGAGCTGCTTTAATTCTGCGCAGCTTAACAAACTGTCCCTGGCACTTTGTGGGGAGGGGCGGTGAGGTATCAAAGTCACTTTTATTGAGATGAAAGAACTGGCCCAAACAGCGATCTGAGACATTAGTCATTCCTTCTCCTCGCTGACAGAAACACGCTCTCAATTTACGAGTCAGGTGTTTCCAGTGATTTCTGCCAGCCTTGTTCCTCCACATCATAAATTCCTCTTTATGCTCACTCATTCCACAGGCAGACGAGTTTTTTAGCCTGCCTTGTCAGAAATTTCAGCTTGTGTTGGCATATTGGATGTCGTCCAGGCTGCTATTAAGAATCGTGTGCATACGACGGAGAACACCGTGAAAGAGCACTGAATTTAAATAGACAGCGGTGATTGTGCCCCTAGGTGCACATTTGTTCATTTTTTTTAATACAGGTTTCCTATCGGCACTTTTAATTCATTCTCTATTCTGTGGTGTTGACTCTGCAGAGCTCCTACTTTGGCTGTGTTCATTTTCTCTAAATGCCTCACGTGGAGCCACCAGCTCCCAATCTATGTAATGAGGCTTTAATAGCCAATTGCAACTTCCAATATCATTAGCAAAAGTGTTAGTCTGATGTGAAATCTGCCTTTGTTTTTGGATAAGCAGAGGTGCAAACGTTTGATAGGTGGGATATGTGATTAGCGCCTACTGTTTTAATGTATCTCCTGCCTCATGTAGAGCAGCGAAGCAGATTTTACCACTTCTTACATTTCAACAGTTTTCTTCTGTTTCGGCCTTATTAAAAGAAACCACCCACTCCACAACATGTGTTTTTTTCTTCATCTTCATGTGTTTTAAAGCTAGAACTGATCACACTTTACATTAAAGCTCAGTAATAACAGTGAAATAAAGAAGTAATAAATAAATAGTCATGTTATTACCAATAAGAACTAGAGCTGTGTACTGATAAGAATTTGGTGATGTGATCGCAATTTTTTATGTTATTGTAAGCAACACAATGTATTGACTTTTTTTCTTTAATAGATTGTAATTTAAACAACTCAATATAAAGTGCACATCATTCATAACATGCATACAATTGGATTAAATTCAGTTTAATTTTTTGCAGTGAGAGCTGCATTTGTATTTCATCTTACAACATCCATTCAGCCTTAATTAAAATAGATGCTTCTGAGAATCAGAACTGTATCAGGAAATAAAATACTGTGATATTTCAGTTCTCAATATTTTAAGTGTTTTGTAGAATCCAAGCTACTACTAACAAATACTTTGGTAATAATATGGTGAAAATAAAATAGTTATTCTTAAGGGTGTAATGGTACAAGTATTCAATAATTTAAATTTGTTTGAACTTAATTTAATAGGAAAGGCCTAACCAGGGCCCTACGTTAAGCCCATACCAAAAAATAATCTGCAAATTTTGGTCTTTTTAGTTTGGCATACAGGTGTATTGAAAAAAATGCAGCGTTGTTTTAAATTTGTACCTGTACAAAACATTATGTGGAGCTTTGCATTTATGTCCTTTTGCAGCTATTAAAAGGTAGCACTTGTCAAAAAAAACAAAAACAAAAAAACGTATTGTCTGTTTTGCAATTTCTACAGAGACGTGAGTTGAATTGAAGCTTTTTGTCGGCATTTTTCAACAGTATTTAGGTACATAGCTGCCGTAATTATTTACTTGACAAAGAATTACCTGAATTTAAGCATAATAAAAAGAAAAAAAAAACAAATAAACCCATCTTCAACTAATCAATCCGGGTCAAACTCATAACAAGGAGGGGTGAAAGAAAATCATGATACACTGAAGTATCGCAGTATTTAATTTCCTGATACTAAATAGATTCTCAAAAGCACTAAATCAATTTTTAATTAAAGCTTAATAAACAGAATTTAATCAGATTTTGTGTATCTAATGTGTGGTGTGCTTTTTATACTGTTTTTTAAAAGTAGAATATTTTGGAGATAAAATATATCCAATATATCTCCTTGCTTACTGAATCGTAATATATTATATCTTGATATCATATCACCAAATTCCTGCCAATGCACAGCCATAATAACAAGCAACATAGGAGTTTTTATAGAAGTAGACATGCATGCAACCATATTCTGTTAAAACAGTGTGCAAAGTGGGTTTATTTCTTTCAGTGTGAATTTTAAAAAGTGCCCTCGTCAGCATCTTAGTCAGCAGATTATACCAGCTCTGTGAGCACAATCTACTGTTAATCTATAAATACCCAAGCTATTTAGTTTGTTTTTGCTTAATCTAAGTGTGCCCAAACTAATCAAAGTCTGGCTTTAAAGCCAAAACAAACCAAACTGCAGTTTATGTGTACCGTTACACTCCTACTGGTGCAACATGTTAGTAGGAGCACTGGTAATATGTTCACTTAGATTTACTAATGTTTGAAGCAATGATTACAATTTTTAGCCCTTAATGTACCTTGGTATCTTTGTCAACTAATAAACTATATATTACTTTGGTAATTACATGACATTAATTACGTTGTGGATTCTATCGTATATTGTCAGATATTTCCTTTCATTATGTTACCAAACAAAACTACCCTAAAACATGTTTTGCCATTACTTGGCACTGAATAAATAATTTACTTTTGATTTGTTTTGCAGGACACTAGTTAATACACTTTTCACCACCAACTACTCATCACGTAGCAGCAGCTGAATTTTATTACACGGAGCTTGCTACAAGTCACAGGAATAAAAGCAACATTTAAATATCTGAAAATGAAATGCATCACTGAGAAAGGAGCAGATTTAGAGCACAGATATGTTTGATTATTTTTAAAGCGCTGCACAGAAAATGATCTTCTGTATCTCCTTCATCTCACATGTCTTGTGCGACTTTTATTTATTTATTTATTTATTTATTTATTTATTACAACATTTACTTGCCCGTGTTTGATCTGTTGGGAGCTCTCCAGTGGTGTCACCCAGTGTGGCTTTTAAAACTTCCAACACACAACACAGAATTAAAATAGAAACACTTTTTTCTTCTTCTTCTCTTTGCTGTCAAAGTTGCGATTTGATGAAGATTACTTTTGACAGCTGTGATAACATGACAATATAAACGGGCGTTATTTAGCTGTTTGCCACGTTGGGTTCATGCATGACCATGGATGAGAGTCCAAATACAATATCAGAGATGTATATTCACTCTAACAAACCACACTGCGGAAAACAAATCCACTCAAAATATGTTTGCGTTTTCCATTACGCCCTCTAATGCATACTGACAGATTCTTCTTATTTGCATTGACATTTACTTGTTTGCAAAGATTACCAGAGACTGAATGAAGAGGACACAAAGCATGATTGAGACGGAAACACACCATCAACGTAAACAAGTAAATTAGCTGGAGAAAACATTAATAAAACTGTTTTCGATTCTTTGTGTGAAGTCCACAATATTTACATAAATACAATCAGCATATTTTCACAGTTGGCTTGAGAGTTTCCTTTCGATGTAAGCAGCTATGCATATAATTAAGCCTATAAATGCTTCCCAAAACGCTCTCATAATGACCTCCGGTTGGGTCGGCTCATCAGAGCAGTGTTGGTCTTRTGACGAGGATATGTTAGTTGTAATAATGCCTGTCAACATGTCAAGTTGGACTCCATTTTCTTTTGAATATTCTCACACTGCTCAGGGCTCAGCAGCCTGTGCCTTTGTCCTGCTTCCTGTAGGCTCACGTGATCACCCAGTGGGAAGGTAGGGGGTGTCGCTGTGGTAGTTGTAGTCGGGACAGACCTTCTGCACCAGCTTGTAGTCGGTGCTGTAGAAGGTGATGAAGATGCAGATGACCTTGAAGGGCTTGGAGCACAGCCAGGACACGTGGCTCTGCGTCTGCTCCTGGGGGCAGCTCTGCGAGGGGTCGTGTGCGCACAGCGAGTTCCTGGTGCCCTTCTCCACCTTCTCGTACTCCACCCTGCAGTTGAACAGCTTGGTTTCCTTGGTCTCCAGAGCCGTCTGCTGCTGCTGGTGATGGTGGTGGAAGTGCTGGTGCTGCTGGTGGACTTGGAACTCCACGGCCTTTGTCGGGGGCACAAGCCCCACKGAAACGTTGCCCTGGCCAGTTGAGTTGTGCCGGAAGTAGACGCTGAAGGTGCCGTTGCCRTGATCCACGATCTTACCGGTGATGAGGAGGTTGAGCTTCACCGTTTTGATGTTGGAATGGAAATCGCCCCAGCCAAACATCTTCTTAAACTTCCCGGTCTTGACGATGGGCCTCCTTTTTGTCCTGGTTCGGGGATCGTGGTGGGMTGAGGTGTTGTACAGCCAGTTCCACTGTTCCTGTTTTGAGTACGAGTCCATCTCATCATAGCCCAGATCCACAGAGGTGAAGTTCTCCTTGGGGTAGAGGCTTTGGGACAGCAGACGGCTGATGGAGACGGCTTTGCTGCTTTCAGTCCAGTAGGTCTTTGTTTTGGATTTTGAGCTTTGTCTGAAGTCTGAACCTCCTGAATGAACTGAGTCAGCACTGGTAGCCTGGAAATACAAACAACATTACTGTTGGTTAAAATCCTTCACTGAAGAGTACACTGGTTTCACATAAAGGGGTTAGACAATGAAAGTGAAACTGCTGGTTTTAGACCATAACATCCCTTTCAGACAGCTTCCTCTTGCGTCCACAGTTAATCCTGTTGGATGTGGTTGGTCCTTCTTGGTGGTATGCTGACATTACCCTGGATGCTGTGGCTCTTGATACATCACAAAGACTTGCTGTCTTGGTCACAGATGCTCCAGCAAGACGTGCAACAACAATTTGTCCTCTTTTGAACTCTGTTATGTCACCCATAATGTTGCTTGCATTGCAATATTTTGAGCAAAACTGTGCTCTTACCTGCTAATTAAACCTTCACTCCGCTCTTACTGGTGCAATGTGCAGTTAATGAAGATTGGCCACCATTGGTCCAATTTAGCCCTGAAACATCCTACACTAAAATGACATGTGTTTCAGTTTCACTGTCCAACCCCTGTTTTTCTTTTTTTAAGCGTTCTTGTAAAGTTGAACATTTAAGAACCTTTTTTATTTTGGTTAATAGTAAGGAAATGTTAAAAAGAAATGTATAGGTCACCCTCTTTTTCAGTCACAACCAGTAGCCAGGAAAGACAAATATGGACTCAGCAGTGGAACAAAAATATTAATATAATTAGATTTTTGTCTGTCAAATATGATAGAAAGAAAAACAGTTATGCTGCTTTTTTTATTTCTCACAGTCATAGCTTTAATTTGAATTMTGTTATGCCTATTTGATATGCTGTAACCAATACATTTCAACAATAACTTTCTTGTAAYAAGTTCCTTTTTTTGTCTTTTAATAAGTTCCTAAAAACAAAAAACGGTAAGACCTCGTTTTGGAGAGTTTGTTGGGCATCACCTTATTCAGCATGATAAAACAACAACAACAAATAAAAAAAGATTCTTTATTCATACACAAATATTACTTGCAGAATGTTGATTTGCRTGTTTAGTTAAATTTTTTCAGCCCAGTTGGGATCAGTTCCAAACCTCAGGGTTATTATTGAGTAGTCTGCACTTTTTGGTCTTTTTCAGTTGGCTTGAGTGRGCGCGTCCATACCATAGACTAAAACAGTGGTGTYCAAAKTGAGTCCYCAAGGGCTGGTGTCCTGCATGTTTTAGGAGCTGGCTTGGTTCAACACAGCTGAACCYAAGGAGTGCCTGATTAGTAGACCTCTGCAGACCTTGATGGCATACTGAGAAGGTCTACTAATTAAGCACTACTTAGAACCAGAGCAGCTCCTAAAACATGCAGGACACCGGCCCTTGAGGACTGACTCTGGACACCACTG